TGGAAAAATTTTTAGCAGGTGCATTTTCTGCAGCTATATATAATTTAGTGGCTCTACCGGCATCACAAAAAATATCAGCTAGCTGATTTGCAATTCGTTGCAAATGCATAATTCTTTGCACTTCTAAGTCACTTTGATTTGTTCGATGATCAATGAAACCAAATAGTAATTTTCAATTAATATCCTTTCTCAGTTGATCAATCTCTCCCATAATATTGGGAAATATGACTCGTCAAAATAACAATTAACAAAATAAATCTTACAAGAATCATCAATTAAGGTTCAAGATATTTGATAATAGATAGTGATTCATACCCAAACATATCTTCAATCTCTATTGGAGACCCATTTTTGTGCTTTGGGAAGGTGTTATCGGCACATAAACCGCGCACCCAAAAACTGGCAATGGTGAAATATTGAGTTTTTTTATTAAACACTAATTATATTAAGGAGCAGATATGATAGCTTGTTAATTTGAGTTTTATTAATGTTGTTGAATGTCAAATTGCATGTCCCCAAGCTAATACAGGAAGTTTAGATTTCATCAACATTGGTTTAGAAGTTATTTGTAATCTCTTTATAAATGATTCATATAGACCATTTTGAGTACGTAGATAAGTTACATAATGTTCAATATCAATTCCAATAGACATGCAATAATCATTAAATATCTTGGATGAAAATTCACAATATTATCAAGATAAATTTTCTTCATTCGGTTATCATAAAACTGTACTCATAATTTAATTATTTAAGCAAGCAACATCGCAAATGGATAATAAAAATACATGCTACCATCGAGTAAATGAATCGATAAGTACAAAAAATTATCAAAAATGGTCTGTATTGTGGATCTACAAGTCCACATATATTACCTTGCATTAGTTCTTAAAATGTTGTGGATTCATGTCTCACTTTTGTTATTGATGGCTTAATTAATAATTTTCCTTGTGAGTAGATAATACATTTCAACTCATTTGTATTTAATATTCTTTGATTTTTCAAAATATGGTCATGGATATTTTCAATAAAATTCATCTCATTATAATTTTACCATGATGCCCAAGCCGATTGTGATAAATTGTAAAATCTGTAGAGTTTTGGTATACCAGATATATTGTAAATGTATTCAGCTATGTACTATAACTCAAAAAATAATGAATGTAGTATAATTTTTTCAGTACATATTTCTGTCCATCAACGAATATTTGCATCATTCGATGTCTCAATATAATACAATTTATGAGAATATCATTAAAGCTCGGCAATTTTCTTTGAGATTTGCTAAACAAATAGTGCATTTGGATTGTCAAATTTTACTCATTTTGAAAGAAATATTATTACTCTTTTTGAGCCTTCAATCAATTTCACACTACCACATATGGTATTAACATGGATTCTTCTAAATTTCAGGTTGATGAAATATTTCTTATACTTCAAGATGGTGTGCATTGATGCACTATCAATGAAACATAAATTATCTTTGGTTTTATTAATTATGCCAAGTTCAAAATTCATAAATATGCACGTTCAGGGTGCTCATAATATAAATAATCAGGAATTTGAAAATATGGGTCTTCAGAATACACAATATACAATATCGAGAGTTTTTTTTTTTTTTTCAAAATATGCACATTCTGGTTGCACAATATACATCATCGAGGGTTTTCAAAATACAAACCTTAAGGGTAAACTATTTTTTTTAATCACGTAATTGGACTCCCTTATCATTTTAGTCCGTTAACTAGAAGTTGTCCTAAAATGGTCCCGTAAGTGAAAATTTTTGCATATTTAGTCATCAGGCGCCGAAAATGCCTACGTGGCACGTCGGATGACACATGTCCGCCAGGTCACCGCCACCTAGTTGACACGTGAATTATTTTTATTTTTTATTTTTTACTTTTTTTTAATTTATATTTTATTTTTTATATTATTACATTTTATTTTTATATTTTTATTTTTAAAAATAAAATAAAAATTAAAAATTATCCACTTGTCCGCTAGGTGACGCTAACGTGGCGAACATGTATCCTCCGACATGCCACGCAGGCATTTCCGGCGTTTGAGAACTAAATGTAAAAAAAATTCATTTACGGGACTATTTTTAAAGAGCCTCCAGTTACAGGACTAAAATGATAAATAGATCCAGTTATGGAAACTAAAAAACAGTTTGAATCAATGGCCGATGGCGTGGGGGCTGAAAATTCCGGCGATATCTTGTTGAAAACGATTCGGAAGGGTTTTAAAGCCTCAGGATCTACTATCTTTTTCGCTATTGATGGTCTGCTATAGAGATTAGAAACAATGAGAGGGACATAAGAATTTAGTGATGAATCAGGTCGAAAATGAACTAGTCACGGTGGTGGTGTTCGAATCAATGATGACGGCGTGGGGGAGGTCGAACCCGACGACTTCTTGCCGATGGTGCGTCGGGAGAGTTTTTCGAATGAAAAATTGGCGAAGAGATTTTGGGTCGTAGATGGGTGGTGAGGGAGGGAGAAGTAAATTACATTAATTTTTATTTAATTTTTTTTTTATTTTGTTTTATTTTTTTAATTGTTGAAGCTACCCCAAAATTTGTAAACTACATGTGTTATATGGAAAGAATATTAGTTAATGGCAAATAGTTAGGGTGCTGATTTGAAAAATTCAGTACCTTGCTAATTTTCAAATCAGCACCCGTAATATATATAAACAGCATACAGTCTTATCATACACAACACATGTTGTATAGTAAAGACGTGTTGTTGGTTTATAATTATAAGTGTATTGTATAACAGTATGTGGTATGCTGAAGTCAACTATTATTTGTGTTGTACAAGACTACAGCATGTGCTGTTAGTTCATATGTTGTATTTGTATGGTTGGTTTATAATTACAAGTGTGTTGTATAACTGTATGTGGTGTGCTAAAATCAACTATTTTTTTGTTGTATAAGACTATAGCATGTGCTGTTAATTTATGTGTTGTATTTGTATTATATGAATACATATGGTGTGTTGTCTGTACTAACACTGTGTGCTGCGATGTGTTGTCCGCATGGTGCTGCGCCTAGTTAATGGAAATATAATAAGATCATTGTAAAAAAATATGGTAAGAAATATTATTTTAGGTGTGTTATATAACATATATATTCGTAAATAATTGTAATTTATTTTTCTAAACATAGATCCTTAAATTGAGATGTGATTTTTGTAATCAATCGTATTATTTTAAAAAATAATAAACTCCAAATAATTGCATATATAATGATTTATTGATAAAAAATATATATCATCATCGTGCCGTACTAATAACATAATATTTGGATATTTCTCACCTCATATAATTTATGTATAATTTTAAATAATAAATCATATTGTTGACTTGTCGGGAGCAAATTTTATTGTCACCAATATCTATTGCTTTTATTGTAAATCTTTTGGTTAAAATTTAGTATATGGACTTTTCATTATGGATTTATTCTTATTTTCAAATATAACATATGATATTAAAGTTATTGATTTTTTAAATTAAAAAATCGTAAAATCAACTTTTAGACAATACTTAAATTATTCTCAATTATTATGACACATAAAATTATAAAATCAATCAATCTAATCGCTTCTATTAATACAGCATGCTGCTGAAATTCATTAAATATTAATACAGCATGCTGCTGAAATTCATTAAATATAGGTTGAATCAAGGTGTCCGGATCTACCCAAACTCATTTCCATCTCTTAATTAAAGCTACCAAATATAGAAAGTGGACAAGTCACGTCAGTGCCTTACAAGACCTGTTTCAAGGCGAAGAGGGGTTGGTGCTACGCATTTAATTTAATTTCAGAATATGTTTTCTAATCGAATTTTTATTTTATTTTATTATATTTTGGATCTCTTATTCCTATCCTAGTTATATTAATTTTATTTTTAACTTTTTTTTTTTTTTAAGTATTATCACCTTCAATTTATTACTTTTATAATATTATAAAATATATAATAATTATTCTCTCCATCCCACAAGAATGTTATCATTCGATTTTTGCGTCGTTGTACTTAACATTAAAAATATCTTTATATTTGAATAATTTACTCGGAAAAATATCATTGTATTTGTATTATAAGAGACTAATAAAAGTATTTTTGTCATTTTCTCTTTATTTTTACTGCGTATTGATATAATAAATAATATTCAAATATTAACACACAAAAAACCATGGCAGGGACAGAGGGAGTATTTAATTTTATTATTTATAATATATAAATAATATTACATTAAATTTCAAAATATTAATTTATAAATTATGATAATATTATATAATTGAATAATTTTTTTTTAAAAAAATTTAATCATAGAAATATGATTGAAGAATACATGCCTCCATTTATGCAACATTTTTGGATGAAGTGATTTTTTTTTATGAATGATACAAGAAATGTGTCAAAAATATAAAATATATTATTTTAGATTGAATATTTAACTTACTTTTTGTAATGATTTTTTATTTTTTGTAATGAGTATTTTGACATTTGTATAAAATATTATGTTTTTTATTATTTTTTCTGGGAAATTACAATTCAACAATATAATTGAAAGAACAGAGCAGCATATGGTTAGCATGATATTTTAATATAAATTTAAATGATATTATTGATAATTTTAACATTAAATTTGAATAATAATTAATTAAGTAATTTTTTATTTAAAATTAATTTTGTTATAGGCAACGAGTTCTTGAAACAAAAGTAATACATGATTTCGTGGCATAAGAAGTCAACTTGTGATGATCTGGTCATGGTTTTAAATTTCAAACTCTTTCAGATCCACCTGCCACATATAATTTATTTAGTGTAATTTGTCTTGTCTAGCCTAATTTGCGGCGGTGGTGCAAAATGAACACATACCATGTGGTCAAAGATTTAAATAAGGTAAAAAAGGTAAAAATAAAAATAAAATAGTGGGTATGGTACATTATAAAATTAGTTAATTATTGAGTTCAACCTTAGGTTGAGGCCTTAGAGAATGAGCATGGAGGACAACAAGAGGAAGAAGAAGGTGGCTCTGGTGACCGGCGCTTCCGGTTTCCTGGGCTCGAGAATTTGCGGCGAGCTTCTCCGTCAAGGCTACTCAGTGAAGGGTTTCGACATCACAGTACTACCCCGCAGCCGCGGCCACGACGACGTCGTTTCGCCTGCTTATAGTAATTTCGAGCTTGTGGTCGGCGACGTCACCGACTATGCGTCGCTCAAAAAGGCCTGTTCCGGCTGCCACGTCATCTTCCACGTGGCTGCCATTGTAGAGTCCTGGATTCCTCGTCCCTCCGGATTCATGGCTGTACGCTCCATACCCAACTCCATGAAGTTATTACTTATTTTTATTATTAATTATTTAATTAATTAGGTGAACGTTGGAGGGTTGAGGAATGTTGTGAGGGCGTACAAGGAGACAAAGACAGTGGAGAAGATCATCTATACGTCGTCGTTTTTCGCGCTCGGCTTCACCGACGGCCACGTCGCCGACGAGACTCAGGTCGATAATGATCTGTAGGATCTATATATTAATTGAAGACACACATTGCGTACTGTTTAATTAATTTTTTTTTAATTTATATAAATGGATCTGGGAATTAATTATATATATTATATAATATTGTTAGATGCACTCTGGGAAGTACTTTTGTAGTGAATACGAGAGATCGAAAGCTATGGCAGATGAGATAGCATTGGAGGCTGCAAGAGAGGAAGGAGTGGCCATGGTGCTGCTTTATCCAGGACTCATCTATGGCGTCGGCAACCTCACCAGTGGAAATACAGTAGCCAATTGGGTAAATCTATATATATATATATATATATATATTGCTTGCTTTCTTTCACTTCATATATCAAAAACACACACATCAAATATATGAAATATATTGTCCGGTAAGGGATGGCCTGATAGCGTGGGGGTTGGACGTGTGACTGTAAGGTTCATGGGTTCAAACCCCTGACGCCTCAGGTTCGTTTAGTGTGACTGGCCTGTCGGGCCTGGTTTGTAGTGTATTAGGTCTGGCCGAAATTTTTTTGTTATTATATAATTTTAAGTTAGATCTGTTTGGTCTAAGGGATTTTTTCAGGGATCAATTTTATTAAAAAATAAAAAAGTTAATTTTCTTAAAATTTTTCAATTCTCTATTCACATCATTTTTTTGGGGGCTTTCTATTTATTCGATATAACTCCTCACGGGTAATTATTAAACACACACTTTCCTTTTTAGTATATAGAATAATTTCAAATAAGAATAAATTTATAATTATGAAAAAATAATACAACTTATTTATTATATCGTCTAAATCAAGTAATTGAAATAGAATATTATATATATATATGGATTTGAATGTAAACAAGTGTAAGTATAGTGTATGAAAAAACTAGGTATCTAATTTTATATTTTTAAATTAACATAATTTTTAATATAATATTAAAAAAATTTTAAAAAAATGCATTTTTAAACACGGTTTCATCAACACCCATTAAATATATACTCTCTCCGTTCCGGAACTATAGTCTTGATTGTGTTGGGTACGGGATTTAAGAAATATTGATATTATATTGATAGTGGGTAAAAAGTATAGGTAAAAAATATTTTTGCCCTTGTAAGTGTATTAGTGTAAAAGATAGTGACAATTGTATAATAATAATGAAAAAGTAAGGGTAATTATATAGTGATATGGTTATTTATGGAAATAAGACTATTGTTTTGAGACGGACAAAAATAGTAAACAAGACTACGAATCTCATAGCTCAGGTTTGACTAGATTTGTGACTTATTCAGCAATTAATCCTAATTTGTATATTGAAATTTTAAGCAATTTAAAGCTAACCAAATTTATTTAATAACAATTTTTTTATGACTAATTAATAACAATTATTGTTATGTACAATCTACACATTGTATCTAGCGTTACCCTTAATTATCTATCTATATATATTAATTTAAACATAAATGATCATACTATATGTAATTTATTGTATACTTTAATTTAGTATTATTAGTTAAAATTATGTATGGCATTCCTAAATTTGTGCATAAAAAGTTGTGGGCATTTGTTAAAACACTAATAAAAAAATAAAAAATTATATGAATTATTTTAATTCTATATAACTATTTAAGATACTTAAATTACAAGTATATATATGTGTGTGTTTCGGTGGTAGAGTGACAATGTTCATATTTTCTTAATGGTCAAATTTGATGGAATAATTTTTTAATGATTATAATGTGATTTATACTCCTTCCGTCCGCATATAAAGTAAACATTACTTTTGGCACGTGTTTAAAAAATAATAATATTTTAATTATATATATGGTAGTTAAAAAAAGTAAAATGACATTTTTGTCTTTACTTTTTGGTGTAAAAGTAATGATGTGATATAAAAGTAAAGGTATTTGTGGAAAAAAGTGAGTAATTTAATGAAATATTTACTTTGTAATTGGACGTCCCAAAATAAAAATATATATATTTTCTAGCTGGACGAAGGGAGTATATAAATGGAGGAAGCTTAAAATAAATTTGAAGTTATATAGTATTAATATTAGATATATTGGAAAGTGATCTAGATTAGTTAATAGTTAATACACATACATGATGTTATTAATGTTACAAAAATACTTTTATGCCATTAAACAATTTCATTTGATTTCAAATTAATTATATATTACTTCCTTTGATGTATATGAATTTTATTTTATTGATAGTATTTTTAATTTGTGTGTCAATAAATACAATAACAATTAATAGTATGATTGTTTTGAAATTAAAATGTACAATGATATTATATTTTTAATTTTTTTAATTTCAATTATTTTTCTGTATTTTTTAAAATTAGATACTTTGTAATCTTTATTTTATTTATTTATTTATTTTTATCAATCATTCATTTTTTTTCATTTTCTTTTCAACGATATTTTTATAGTTTTGGTCAAAGATCTTTGTTTAGATATGGATTCCTTCTATATATAAACTTTGGAATTTTTTTTATTTATTCCAAAAAAAAATTAATATTTGATGTGTTATTAAGTGAAAGCAATAGTTATTTAAATCTAAGAATTATATATATATATATGTTACTACAAATGAATAGTGTAAAAGTTCTTAAAGTATATGTGCAAATATAGTCATATGTTTTTGAATTTTTTTAAAATGAAATAATAAAAATAGAGAGCATTTAATATGATATTTTGTGAAAAAAAAATGATGTAAATTACCAATAAAAAGAAACCCCACAATTGTTTACTTGTAATGCCATTTTTAGGTTAATTTTTAATATATATATATATACTCCCTCCGTTATCCAATTGTGTGTTTATTTGACTGGGCACGGATTTTAAGAAAAATATGTAATAATAAAAATTTTTACTTTTTTTTGTAAAGAAAAATGGTATTTTTTTACTAAAAAGATAAACGGAAATAAATTTGGATGAACAATCAAAAAAAGAAAATTGAGAATAGATTTAAACGATTGAGGGAATACTATTTTATCTTACTTTTTGTTTAGAATAATTTTATAATAAAAAAAAATGAAACATAAAGGAAAAAAGAACAATATGTGTACATGAAAATTTAAAATTTTCGAATTAGAATTAATAATTGGAACAAAAGTAGATAAGTATTTATAAAGTATTAAATAAATTTTTAAAAATAAATTTTAGAAGATTAACGTCAAAATACCCATTTTGACATGCCTTATTTATACACCAATATAATTTTTTTATTATTCATAATTTAATTAAAATGAACACAATTTAATGATTTCATAAAATATCTTATTAATCATAATAGAGTGTATTTACTTGTAACATTTTACTATTCTAATTTTTTCCCAAAAAATATGAAATCAAATATCAATTTTTTATTTATTATATCAACTAAAATTTAATTTTACATACAAAATATCATATTAGATATTTATATATATCACATCAAATAATTATTTTAATTCAAAATTTTACTATTCAAAATCAAAATCTTAAAAGTAAACACAAATATAAATTAGTTCTAACGAGTAAAGTTTAAGTTTATTAAAAATAAAGGAGAAGATTATCCTGTTGTTGTTTTACTTTTAATAATTTGTTTGGTTGTGTTTTGAAATTGATTTGAAATGAAATGGTGATTTGAATTTTTATTTAAATAATATTTGCTATAATAAATTTGTGAGAAAAAAATATATATTTTTTTATTAAAAATTATGCGGAATAAATAATATTTAATTTGATTTTGAAATTGTAAAAGAACAAATCCAGTTATTCAAATGGAAAATTATTGCATAATTAATCTTGGCGATGAACTCTGTGATATAGTGAAAATTATTTTTTTGTACTTGAAATGAAAATACTTCATCCGTCCCATAATAAAGTATCCATTTTTTTTATTTTAGTCCCATAAAAAAATATCCATTTTTTTTAGTAATTGTACTATCTACCTAACATTACAAATATCCTTACAACTTACAATATATTACACAAATGTCATTACCTTTATATCACACCATACTAGTAAGGTTATTTTCGTCATTTCTACTTTATTTTTACTATATCCCAATATAATACTAATATTTCTAAAATTACGTGTAAAAAACAAATTGATACTTAATTATGGGACGGAGAGGAGAGAGTAAGGAAATTTTAAAAAAATTACAACAAAATTTATTGATTTGAAATTCACTTACTTAAATGAAAATAATGAATTTAAAATAACTAACTTTAAATTGATTAAGATCAAATGCTTTCATCCATATTAATCCTAAGATAGTTTAACCTTACTATGAATTTCAAAACGGTTACAAAATGCAATGCATTTAAGACATATTTGGAAGTATTTTGAAATTTTGCTTTGTTAGTTTGTGAATAGTAAAATATTGATTTAAAATGCATTTTTAGTGTAATATTTTTATGAATATTTTAAATGAAAACAAATATTTGATATGATATAATTTTTTTGAACAAAACTATTGATGAATATTAAAAATTAAAATAAAAAAGCATAAATAAACCTACGAATTATACCATAACATTTCTACCTAATGGCTTCGTTTAAGTTTTAATCACGAGCTTGAACATATCTACATTGAGTCAAAGTGGATAATTCAGTAGAGGCTAGTATAGGATTATTTCAACGACACATCCAAACCAAACCTAGTTGACTTTATTGAATTCAAAGCATAAAAGTGAAACACCCGGCCCATAGGTCATACAGATCGAGCATATCAGGATTAGATTGACCCATAGATTAACACAAGTCCTTTTAGCGAGTTTTTTTTATCATTCATGCGCATTTTCAAATTACTTTAGGGCATATATGCTTAACTTTACAGTTCTTTTAATATAACTTCCAAAAAAGAATGTATACATTGTTGACATAAATAGCTTATTCAACCTCGAATGGACTAGCACTGACTCATCCAAATATGAACATTGATTTAAAACTAACCAAATTCCAGGGTATCACATCCTCTCTCACTTAAGAATACAACGTCCGCGTTGCACCCCAATGATCTATCAACTACTAGCTAGGTTTCTCAACAATTCAATCAACAACTATAAACTATTGTAGGTTGGCTTTGATACCAACTGAAACACTCCGGCATGTAAGCCACACAAACCGGGCATGTCGGGATTAGGCTGGTCACATGTCTTTCCAGTGCACTTTTATTCTCACTCATGTGCACCCTGATAGACTTTTCAAGGGTCAATCATTCTCAAATTACTATAAGTCCACTTAACTTTAGAGTTATTTCTGTAGGATTCTTGAAAAAGAATGTATATATTTTCAATTCACTTAATCTTTATTCAATCTCAAATAATATAACATAAGTTCATTTATGCATAAGATTTGACTTAGAATTGGTCAACTCCGGGGATATCACATAAAGCGTGGAGCTTAGTGATGAAATTAGTATATTGTTGGCATTGGCCAATTGTTAGCCTAAGTTGCTACCATATATATACGCAAACAAATTATATTCTTATTTTACTGTATGTGTATGCTAATGTCCAAATATAGTAATATTACTGATTAGACAACTTTTTAGACATACCTCAATATGTAACTAAATTTTGTGTCTTTGCATTGTTTATCTCGTTCATTATTGCATTATTTCCATTATAATAGGCCTCAAACTCTATATAAAAAAAAGTGAATCTTGCAAAGACTCTCAGTATCATTATATTATTCTTAAACTTACATCAATGTGCAGCTGGTCGAGCGATTTAATGGGCGATTGCCGGGTTATGTTGGTCAAGAGAAGGCATTTTCGTTCTCCCATGTAGACGATGTTGCGCGAGGGCACGTTGCAGCAATGACCAAGGGTCGATTAGGCGAACGGTATCTTCTCTCGGGGGAGAATGCATCCATCAAAGATGTTTTCGACATAGCTGCAGAGATCACTCATACACAAAAACCTCAGTTCAGAATCCCAATCTTTGTGCTTGCAGTTTATGGATGGATTTGCATTTTCTTTTGCAAGTTCATAAGCCAAAAGCATCCACTGGTCACTCCCCAGGTATGGAATTTATATATCATATTTATATATATCTTGATTCTCTGGAGTAGTAACAAGTTACATATTTAGATTAATGAGTTTAGTTAAATCTAGCTTAGATGGTCTCAACTAGGGTTTGTTTGGTTTTGATTTTAGTTTGAGTTTTTTATATTTAATTTTTCATTTAAATAGTATTTTGATACTATATTTTATAAAAAGATATAACTATTTTTGTTGGAATATATGCAGTATGAACATTAATAGTTTTTATTTGAAATAAACAAAATTTATAGGGTTGTTTCTATCTCTTTTTCGGGGTAGGAGCTAGGAAAAATTAACAGAAGAGTAGTTATGATTATGAGTGTATTTGTTTGATACTTTTAGTTTGAAGCACTTTCGACGGTAATTATGGACAAGTGTGTTAATAATATAAAAATAAATTAATAATATTGTGTTGAATTGTATATATAAATATAATTAAGAGTAATGATTTTTTGAATATTTTAAATACTAACTTATTATAATAATAGCGATATCGAATTTCTCGGATACTATAATTTTCTATAGATGAATTTATATAAAAATTTTATATGTTCGATCGCTTTGGTTAGGGCGTTGATTGAGAATTTATAAGCATCATGGTGATTGCTTTTATTAATATATTAAAATAGTATAGATAACATATGATAATATAACATACATCACATGATGTATAAAGTATTATTATGTACTGGGAAGTATATTTTATATGTATGTTGTAAATTTATATCTAATGTTTTGTTCGGTATATATTCTTGTACTATAAGAATTATGCTGATTATATTTAATCAACATTGTAACCGTTGCCGATGTTGGATAGTTAAGCTTGTGGTACCTGGTCCTTTGGTAAATGATAAATTTCTTTTTATGGTTCTCCACGCTTTTTTTTCCGTAAGAAAAGATATTTATAGTATATGGAGTTAGATGTCTCTTGTGAATGGTCAAGCATTTTAACAATGTAAGGATGCATTCTCCAACATTAAATTAACACAACAACATATCATTGAAAATACTACATTTTTCATGTTTTTTTTTCTGTAATTGATAAATTGTGGAATGAGCAGGCAGTCGACATCTCCCGGCATCAATGGGCATATAGTTGTGAGAAGGCTAAGGCTGAGTTGGATTATAACCCTAGAAGTTTGAAAGAAGGCTTGACAGAGATGGTGCCATGGTTGAAGGACATAGGTTTGATAAAATACTAGGCCATTCTAAAACAAAATATGCATTAATAATGCACACACAAGGAAGACGATGATCTTCAGACCTTATCCACGTAGTGTGGTGCACTTTCGATGTTTTTGGTGTATTTTAAAAGCACAATCGTCTCATTTTAAGGGTTTGTTTGTGGAAAGTTTTAGGTTCTGCGTGTTAAATGAAAAATTAATATTTGTTCGGATATTATTTCAAACATTTATTTTAATTGCATCAAAAATTCTTTTTCAATTGAAAGGCTTATTATTCTTTACAACATGTGCCATTTATGTTGCAAAACACCAAAAGCCCGTTCAATGTCTTTACAATATGCTTCTTGCAACATCGTGAAAGCTCACTCATTGGCGATTACAAGATTCCTCACCACCTACATGAATATAGTGTGCCTATAATATATTCCATCTGTCAAGCAATATGAGAGGTTATAGTGTGTTCCATTGACCTTTATTCCACTGGAGGTGTTGTGCCATCTATGTAATTATTGAATAATGGGGAATGATCTAAAACTGTAACGCCGTTGTTTGTAGCAGGCATACGAAAAGTGCATGTCAGATCCATTGGTCCTTGGAAGAAGCAGCCTCCAAGATAAATGTTGGATATCCGTATCGGCCGTTATACTGCCTCTCGAAGCAACAGGACACGCATCTCACCGGCAATGCATATAGTCCAATGAATCTCGTAAATATTGTTGTTTATAAAGGGTGAAAAACTCATCATACTCGTACAAACACTACGTGTTGTGAAATATGAATTATTCTTATACACAATCGATAAATTTTACTGAAGACACCCCGACGCATGCGAAAACACCGTGTGACACCCCGACTCGCAAGCCACGCAAAGCCGGGCGTGTCGGGATTGTAGACTGGCCCCACAGGTCAATACGACTCCTTACAGCACGTTTCTGTCTACACTCACCCGCACCCTGAGAGACTTTCAAATGGGTCACTCATCCTCAAATTACTCCAGAGCAAGCACGCTTAATTATAGAGTTCTTTCAATAAAGCTTCCGAAAAGAAATGTGCACATTATTGACATGAGTAGTCTATTCAATCCATTTAATTACTATTCAACCTCGGATGGTCTGGCACTAGTTCATCCACGGGAGTTGACCTAGAACTGGCCCAACTCCGGGGGTATTACAACCTGTCACACTTAACAATACAACGTCCACATTGCACCCCAAGGATCAACTGTTAGACCCGTCACCAATCCGGTCAACGAGCAGGTCGGCTATGATACCAACTGTGACACCCCGGACCACAAGTCATGAAAAGTCGAGCATGTCGGGATTGTAGACTGGCCCCACAGGTCAACACGAGTCCTTCCACTATGCACCCTGAGAGACTTCCCACGGGGTCCCCTATCCTCTAATTACTCCAGAGCAAACACATTTAACTCTAAAATTCTTTCAGTGGAGCTTCCGAAAATGAATGTGCATATTATTGACATGATTAGTCTATTTAATCCATTTAATTACTATTCAACCTCGGATGGCCTAGCACCAGCTCATGAGATGTATTGCACAAGTAATGAGATGTATTGCACAAGTAATCTATCTAGATCTCCATATGTCTCCCTTTCCTATCTCGGTAGACGTAGTTCCTTTATGTCGTTGTAGTCGTGATTTCATACTAAGATATTTGAGGGAGTGAATCTCGAAGCCACTGAATGTTCATGAGATCTTGTTGAAGTAACCATTGCTGCCTCAAGCGCCTCTACTTATCCTCATTCTTATTGACTGACCAAAAATAAGCCTCCTCATCGCAAAGATTAAATTCGTCTTCTTCGCTCTCCATTAATGAGGCAGCCGATAATATTCAACTGGACAAAAAATTTCAAAACAATGCAAATCTTTGAAACCCACCCTCATTATTTAAACACTAAGAAAATGTGCAAAATAACTTGGTAACAGTTTATTAACCGAAGCATATCTTCTAAATTTACACTTGTTCTTGCCCTTACAGTTTAACTTCGGCAATAAGATCACAGTTTTTTAAGCAGCATAGTATTTGATAAGAGGAAGAATAAGGGCGTGCACCTAAATCGAATATAAAAAAACAACCATTGAGGTAGTTTGTAAACTCCCTGCAAACATGAACACTTTGAGTGCAGAGAATGCATCTCCTATACGTGCTATTGGTAAACATAACTATTGAAACAACGACTTAAGGAGCAGTCATTCCCACATGAAATGAATTGAAAATAGTCTAGATTAACTTCTAAACAAATGCAATGATAACAACAATAATGATAGTAGCTTCAATAATATCACGACAATAATAACATCAATATTAACACAGTAAGACGAGTCTAAATTACATACACAACTAGTAGGTTTCTTGATTACATACACAACTACGAAAGTATTCCCCAAAAGTAAGCATAGGGAATCACAAACAACGCAATAGAGTACTTTTCTACAACACAAATTATTCATGCATTATTCAATACCATCATGTAATATAACATGGAGATTTCCTCCATTCGATGTTTCTTCTTGCTGCATGAACATGAATACCAACTTTCATTACTTGTACATGGGTGTGCTAAAGTTGCACTACCCTTTCCAGTGTAAGATATCTTTCATTATTCGCATAAAAACTGTGATTTGGGTTTCAAACCTCAATGTCTGCCCAAGCAAACCAATTGTCACAAGGCTCGCACTTGAAATACTTTCTTCCTGGATTTTTTTCGCTTCTTGATATCTTAACGACACTTTCTCTACCATAATGACATATTGACGCCATTGAAGCCGTATATATGTAATCTTTACAAAAATAAATACATCCGAAATAAGATTAACATGGAAATGAACTAAGAATAACACAACCTTAAAATATATAAAAGTTCATTATGATATGAAATTGATGTCAAAACACTTCCAATTTGGGAAAAACCCAATGCCAAACATGAATTTCCTATACTAATTGACTATACCAAATTTGTCGTTAAAGTACCGTGGACTATTGTCTTTTTCATCGGCGTATTTTTCTCTTTGAAAAACCAAAACACCAAATTCATCTACTTAACTGCACTTCCATTTAGCTATTTAATATCTGAAACCACTTACAATAATCGATTAACCTAGCCTAAACTAATCTAGCAAATGGACAATATACTCCGATAAATAACTTCTCAACTCATCCAATGGATATAGAGAAAGCCAATCAATATATTCACCACAAATGATGATAAATATACACAATAAGGGACCTGAAAAAAATGAACAAGAAACCTACTATTGACAATAAAAAAAACAAACAAGACTGCAATAAACAAGTAAATTTATCTTGTTTTCTCTAATATATTATACCCATATTAATTTATTTTGGATTGTCAACCCTATATATTCAATAGTCACATATGTAGATAGATACAAACTTTTGTTTACTTATGTATTTTTTACTTGGTTTTTACTATTTAATATTTCAAATTTTCTCCAAAATATCACATATAACACCAATTTTCCATTCAAAACATCCACCGTTATTCACCTAAGAAACATCACATAGAGGAAAAAGAAATAAATAATAAAACAGTTAAACAAACCCTTCCTGAATTTTGAGTTGATTGGTATAATTAACAAAAAGTTTAGAGAAGCAAATATTTATTCTCCCAGCCTATCTATTTTTGGAAACTGCAGTCAGACACAAAAAATATTCTATGAACATCACACAAAACACATAGATGAACGCCTATTTGATACAATTTTCCAAAGTAAATTAATAGAAAACTACATTCTTTAAATGATCTACAATGCACCAAGTTAAGACAACAAATGCATTTTGAAATGATCGATAGTAAATAAATAGAAAATTGTAAGAAATATGTAACTTAGTGAAAGAAATCAAAAAAAGAGAAAGAAAAATATAGTAAAACATACCTAGATTGAAATAAAATGGACTATAGAAGACTGAGAAATTAAGTCCAACAGAGAAAATATGAGAGAGGACAAGAAAATTATAAATGAGAATAAAACATCAAGATAAAAAACAGTTAGTTGGCCAATAGAGTAAATTAGCATTTTGTTTCGTATAAAACATCTATAAGTAATGTAGAATAAAAGGTCCAATATAATGCTCCCATATTTTGCAAAAGTTCTCAAAGGACATGGGATAAATACCACCATAGGTGAATCTAGTTGCCTACAAAAATTGATTCGCTAGATCACCAACAACAACCTCAATTCTAAATTTCGTAAACAAAAAGATACTGAAAAACACTTAAATGAAAACTCAAATATTAGATTAACAATCGCTCCTATTTTGGAGAATTATAAACTTAATGGGAAACAATTCTAATTCTTACAAAATCTATATTTACACCATATCTGGAATAAACAGTTTAATATAACAATATTCCCGTTAGGCCTCTCCTCCAAAGCTCAATTTTAGCTACAAATGGTTGGATAATAAACACAAGATATCCAGCCTTCGAAAATAAAATCAAGTTCAAAATTGATACAACATATCTGGAATAAACAATTTAATATAACAATATCATCGTTAGGCCTCTACTCTATAGCTTAATTTTAGCTACAAATGGTTGGATAATAAACACAAGATATCCAGCCTTCGAAAATAAAATCAAGTTCAAATTTGATAAATAGGGAGAAGAAGAAGAAAAAATTGAACAAAAATAAGTTGTTTTTCTTACTAGAGTTCGACCAGCCTGTTGGACGCGACTCGCTCATCGCATGTTTGGATCTCCAAGAAAATATTGGTGCATTGCAATACTGAACCCAATGTGTGGCTTTTATTTGATTTTTTATGACTGGACAATTTTGCTCTGACACGTGTGTTACAAGTGATCAACCGAGACAATTTTTTTTTTTTTTATCGGAAAGATCAAGTATGGTATATATAAATAAATAAAATAGAGAGCTATTTACAATTACGCCGGGCATACCCGGGAAATCAAGTCCTAAAGATAAGTCCAAAAATTCCGATCAAACACACTATAAGAATGGCCAAAAAGATATTATCAAGATCAAGATCCATTGGGCAGAGCATGGGTTCAGTGCACGAATAGAAGCTCGAAACAATCAAACAACAAACAAATTTAAAATCCAGCCCCACCAGATCGACCTCCAGTACTTGAAGAATAAAGCAAACGGAACAGAGGAGTTGTTGTCTAGCGCTCCTTTGTTTTGGGCTGTCCAAAGATAGTAGACTCTTGCAGCAAATCCAGTAAGGCACATGAACTTGAGCGAGGGAACAGAGGAGTTGTTGTCTCGAAGCCACTCCAAAGTTTCAGTGATCGAATTAAGTCCCGAGAGGAGCTTGAGCCAGAAACAGATTTGCCCCCACACTTTGGAGGAGAAGGGGTAGGCAAAAAAAAAATGGTGGCAGTCTTCGGTTTAGTCTTTACAGAAGACACATAGTGGATCAATGTCGAGGAAGTGCAAGCAGTCTTTGGTTTATAGTTTCTCATGAGTTACGAGCCACAAAATGAAGGCGTGCTTAGGGAGCACCGAGCTGTTCCAAATGATGGGAGCAGACTGCCATGGAATACCTAGAACCCTGAAGAAGTCATACATAGCATGCAAGTTGGATTTAATGCTGTACCATCGAGACAGGCCAACCTTGGCGCTAGCCACCCCCACCCCCTAGAAATGACTAACTAGCCTATCGCGAATCCGAGATAAGGACTCGAGTAAGTAGGAGCCTGAATGTACAATTTTATGCTCCCAGAAGTCGTGGACTTGGAAATAACAATAATGTATGATTGGTGACTGTTTAGGTATTATTTATATAGTAGTAGGTATCTTTGAATATAGTTGACTTTACTCAATCCCTTGACAGATGAGGCAATTAAATAACTGGGTGAAAACGCTTCTTCACTTCATTGGTGGTTGAGAGAAATGACAGCGATTGGGAGAGTATAAACCTTCGCAGTAACATGTATATACATTTCTTTCTTAGGTGCACCACTAATGTACTCAGGTATCCATAAATGCACTTATGTTCATTGCAAATATTACTTCAACCATTGCAAGGTCTTGTAACAAATTAGTTAATTCCAATTTAAGAGAAGTATACATAACTTTTCTGGCTTGTTTCTGTCTTCGTACAAGGATAACCTTCATAACTAATCGTAACATTTATATGTATTTTGAAGGTATTTCGATCTAATTAGACGGGTACATCGATCCCTTGTGGAGGTACAATATGTGCATTATTGCAATTCTAAATATGTGACGAATTAATCATACAATCATTCACGGAATAATTCATAGCATTACTTCAAACATTAAGTTTCACCAAATTTAACCAACGATTCAATCTCTCAATCAATCTTAATACAATCCCATCGAACAAGAGACCAATCAAACCAATTCAACCAACAACTCAATCCGAAAATAACACATTATCCAAATCAAAACACAAACAACACAAACCAAAAAAAATCTCAAATCCATCCAAATTTATTACAGACGTTCACTTACCCTGTGCTGCTCATCAAAGTCTACGGTTCGGACAACGGACCTTTCAGTATCCTAACCACAATTTTATCGTGGTAGCTCTTTACATTATCAAACTCACCGGTGATACCACCAGTAGGATGGATTACTGGATTCACGTGGGCGTAACCCTTGGCGAACATGCGGACCACAGTCGAGAATATCAACTTGATGCCGACATCTTACATACTCGGGCATCTTCCTCACATGGGCCATAGATGTACTGAGTTCAAGTACAAGCATAAAAAATACGTATGCAAAAATAACAAAATATTTTGTTACGTAATTCGGTTTATCCATGGTCAATTAATTATATTTATTTCGTAAAGACACTAATTTTTTCGCGTTCCTTTATCCGAATGGACCACATAGTGAATTGCACTCAAGCACAACCCGACCTACGGTCTGTAAATAAATACCATCAATCCATATTATCCAAATCTCGAATTTATTTAAAAAAAAATATCAGAATTTATCAGGAGTACGTAACAACGCATTCCGAGTACACAGTAGTCCACTAAAAGTATATTTTTAGCAAACTAGACCTAAAAGATGCAACTCGGTGTACCGAACAATACCATATTTTCAACCCACAAACATGACTAATTACCGAACAATCAAATAAAAAAACTAAAATATACAACTCCGGGTAACTAAAAAAAATGTACATTTACAAAATTAACAAACATTACGAATTAAACATATAAAATCACCCAAAATTGGTGCGAAAGTATAACACCCAACCTGATCTACGTGAGCAAACATATGAATGATTTCAAACCCGAATAACAAACACAACTACACCAATCACCGAAGGCTACTTAATACCGAACCGAGACATACAAACACGGGACCAAGACTTACACCCCAAACAATCAAATAAACTACGGCATAATATACTAATGTCAACAAAATTAAAAATCAAACAAAGTCAAACTAGACACTTACTTCTTCGAGCTTGTCCCGGGGGATGGAAGTAGGTCAGCAGTTTTTTTCACTATTTTTGCACCGATCAGTCGTGATCGCTGGGGGTTGGAAAACGTCGGTTCGTCTAAAGATGAAAGATGTAGGGTTTAAAATCGGGGTGAGGGGAGTTATGAGAAGTTTTCTACTTCAACCCCTGTTAAATCGTGGGTAACTATTTTTTTATTATTATTTATTCACAAAAAAGATACGCGATATTTAACTAGAAGTATATAAAGTTATAATAGGGGTATAACGGGAAGTAATGTAGGTATATATTACAACATTGAAAATATTGATCAACCTATTTCGAGTACTTGTTGCATATACAAAATTAATTGAGGGAAACATACAAATTAGGGAGTTATAACATACATAATCCATAAAGTAGGGACTACAGTCTAGTTGATTTCGACTGAATTACAACTTGATTTCTCTGACGTGAATTTGAATCCAACTTTTCCTATATTTTATTAAAATATAATTTTAAAAATATATTTAAATTTTTTTAACTACTCCATCTATTTCAAAATAATAGAGAAATTTGAGATTAGTGCGAGAATTAAAAAATAATAATATTATTTTGATAGTGGGTGTAAACATATTTGTAAAAGACTAAAATATCCTTACTTTATGTAATTATTGTAAAAAATGGAGATAATTTTGTAAAAATATGAAAAATATTACCAAAAATGAAAATTAAATTATTATTTTAAGACGTACAAAAATAGCAAAATTAAATATTATTTTAGAACGGAATAAATATTAAATAACTAATTTCAATTATTTAAATAACTAAATTCCTCTATCCAAATAAAAGATATGAAAAAGTATAAAATTAAGGAATTTAAGGGAAAATTGACCACAAAAAATCAAATATTGATAAAGATGGGACGGAGGAAAAAGTACATTTTAGTTAATGCTTCCCTAATCCAATATATTATTACTTTCCTCATCATTTAATCTAAGTGTATGTTCATTTGATACGAGTTGATAAATATAAAGTAAGAAAAGAGGTATTTTATTATTAAAAATAAATAAAATAATTTTAGAAATATAATAGATTTGAACGAGGGATGTCAACGTGGCGGGTTTGAGACGGATTCTATAGGTCCCGAGACTCGCCCCGCTAGAAAATATTAGACCCCGAGACCCGCCCTGCCCTCCTTCCACCCGGTCCCAGGACCTGCCACGCCCCAAACCCTCCGAGTTCGGGGTCAACCCGGCAAATCCGCTTTTTTAAAAAATATATAATAATAAATATTTTTTTAATAATCGAATACTAAAATAAATAACATTAAAAGCACAAAAAAATTAAAAACAATCAAATATTGATCCATAAAAATAAGATAAAAATACATAAACACAATGCAAATATAAAAATTTAAAACGTCAAATAGTCAATTCTAATATTCTTCAACATCAAAATCTTCATCTTCATCTAGTATTGCACTCGATTCACTAATACCTAATTAAAAATATACATATACATATTATTATATTGGCGCTGGCGGCCGATGATGGTCGGCAGAAGACAAGTAGATGAGGATGAAAGACGGCAGCAGTCGCAGTTGAAGAAGCGGAAAAAGAAATTAGGGATTTAGGGTTGGGGCAGACAACTAATTGAGTTTTATGTTTAAAATTATTTAAATAAATAAATAATATATTTTTATTATATAAATATACATACATTAGATATAATAATTTTAAAAAATTACTTGGAGCTGACGACTTATTGAATTTTATATATAAAATTATTTAAATAAATAAAATAATATATTTTTATTATATAAATATACATTCGTAATCCGCCCCGAACCCGGCAGAATTTAAAATTTCAAATTCATAACCCACCCTAAAACATATTATTTAGATCTGAATTCGTCTCATTAAAAACGGGTCCGAGGCGAGTCCCGGGCTAACCCGTCCCATACTCCCATTTAACATTCTAGCGAAGTACATCTTATACATGACAAGCCGCCGCCCCGCTGCACGCACCCGGTTCTTCTTTTCTGTCTTCTTCCTCCGAGCACCAATTTTCTCTTCCTCTCTTCTTTCTTTCTTCTCATTGCTTCCACTTTACCTTTTCCTCTTCGTCTCATCTTCATCATGCTGCTCGGCGACTGACTGACGGTGAATATAGGAATCGAACCGGAACCGCCGGATTGAAACCGGAGAACCGCCGGTTCGCAACCGGTTGGGCAAGTCTACCTTCCCCTGCGAGAAACAAAACCCTTGCGTCCTCCACAAATGTAGAAATCTAAAAGCACAGAGGAAAGGATGCTCATGAAATCTACCCCTGGAAACCCTCTTTTCTGCCTCAAATGGCCGTGGGATATTCATAATCGACCCCAGAGCAACAGCAACAGCAACAGTCCCTGTACTTTCGATACCCCCTGGATTTTCAAGCCCTTCAAGAATCTCGGCACCGTGGCCTTCAATTTCGTCAATTCTGCAGTATCTACGCACTCTCTCAACAATCCATTTCAACTTAATGAAAAGGGGAAAAATGTTTTGAACCCGCAGGAGCAAGGAGAGGCGGAGCAGAGAGCATTTGCTGCTGCTTTGGCGAATGGTAAAGAAGCCACGGTTCTCGAATTTTATTCGCCAAAATGTAGACTCTGCAACTCGTTGCTCGGTTTTGTGATGGAAGTTGAGAAAAGGAATTCTGATTGGCTCAACATTGTCATGGCTGATGCGGAGAATAATTTGTGGTTGCCTGAGGTAAGTCATTCCTCCACTCTTTGTTCCTTCCTTCAGCTGATTTCTTGCATCACATATTTTTGCTATCTGCTAGTTACGTCTTGAAGAAATTGGATTTGTATGGGAATTGATAGTATTTTGGTCTTTGGGGTTCATATTCCATTCGTATATTATCATTCCAAAACTTTTGTTTCGTAGCATTCATTAGGGACAATAATTGACAATATTGATTAGTTGGAGAGATTGTATATGTAGGAATGGTTGTCGGTAGTGAATTTTGCCTATGTCTCTTGACATGCTGGATTCAGTGTTCTGATATACAATGGAGATGCATGATTGGGTAATAATAAAACTTTTCCAATGCTGTTGAAATGGTGAGAGCCCCTGAAGAAAATATTCCCAAAAGGGTTAAGGTATTGTATATTTTGGACGTTCAAGTGAGCCTCCAACATAGTCAGGTTTACAAGGAGATTCACATAAAGTTGTAGAAAATTTTGAGAAAAGAAATGCAATTGTATTGATTGAATTTGGATGATCTCAATGCAAAAAAATAAAAATGGAAATAAATACCTGCACTTAAGTAAGTAATTGAAATGGAAAAACATAGGGAAATTGGATGATCATGCTACTAGGCTTAACTCATCAACATATGTAATCCCAATACTTCCTTGGACAAATGACACGGACAAGATTAAGTACAATCTTCGTTGGTAGCCTGTAGCAACTGCTTTCTACTTCTGCTTTGACTTTGCAAATAAGCTAATTTGAGTTGTTTGATGAGCTTGGCCTTTTTCAATGGCCAACCCTTCTCATTACTTGTGTGGACTCTTCAAACCTTTTCCCTTTCTTAGATAAAAGTTCCTTTTGGGCTTTGGTTTTCTTAGATTTGTCTCCTCTTCTTCAACTTGGGCCATTGTACGGACTTATAGAATTTCGGGGCTCAAAATTCATGGATGAATACAAGGCCCCCTGCATCTTCTGGTCGGATCCCAATATGTAACACCTTTTTGTCTTTTGTCAGGTGTGTGGTCTTATTGTAGACTAGTCCTCCTATCAAGTTAGAAAAATCTAGTCTGTGATGAGAAAGTGTGGGATGATGATTTAGGTGCTTTTCTGTGCTTAATGCCACCTCACTTGCATCTTTATTTCTTTAGCATCGTTATTCTTGTATGACTTCCCTTTATGAAAAACTATCAGATAATATGAAACCCATTACTTAACCATAGGTCCAAAATGAATTTTTTATCCATGAGTTGTTGTAACTTCCCAAACTTTGTAGGTGATGCTTGAATCTTTTGGCAATGAGAATGTATAGTGAACATCAGGTGGAGATTCTTATAGTGAGAGGCAGTGTCTTTCAAAATACTAGTTTTTTCTTGAGTCAGAGTCAATGCTGCTATGATCATGCATTTTATTCTTTCAAATAATCAAAATATCAAATTACTAGAGAGTCAATCACTTCGGTCTCGACTTGCTAGCATCGCCTCCGATTATGTCCCTCCAAAGCTGTAGTTGGGGTCAAGTTTCAGGGATAACTTGACGCAATTGATATCCCAATCACTGTAATTCATCTACCTTACCTGCCGACTTGGATGAGAATTTTACAGACAGACAACTTCCTTGTTACCAACCTCGGTAGCCTTGAGGTGGTTGACTTTGCAGTTGGTTCTTCTGAACTTGGTGAGAGTAAGCGTAACTACCATTTGACGGAGCTGTTTTCATACAAAGCGATGTTTGGTCAATGGCACAAGATATGTTGAGGATTGAGGGATTTCAACATAGTGCCACTAATTCGCACGACCTGTGTCCCAAATAGGAAAGAGGCCTTGTCTTCTGAATTTGAAGCTCCTAAAGCTCATATTGTAACACCTCAGCTCCTCCTCAAGCGCAATGTCAAGAGCCAATTGGTATTATATAATTGTAGACTAGCCCCACAAATCAAATAGAATCTTAGTGCATCTTGTTTTTACTTGTGTGCACTCCAGGAAACTTCTAGGAAAATTTTTCCCTCTGGAGTCGCCCATCTTAAAATTGACTTAAAAATAAGCCCGCTTTGGAGTTTTTGCTTGTTGACATTGAAAAAGAAGGTGCTCCGTTTTAGCCAATTTGTTGCCAAGGTTAGGCGATGGGGGCTTGCTTGCTAGGTTGTGGCTTCCCAACACACCCTTATAGTTTTTTACATGTAACTATGATCACAATTACAAGTAAGTTTGAATAAATTAAAGTTGGAATGAAAAAAGTTCTTTGAATGTTGAGTGTTGTCTTTTTTTAAAAAAAAAAAAAATTATATAGAATTGAGACGCTGGTATAAGTTACTTCCAACATCTTATTAAAATTGAAAAATGTCTGTCTCTCTTTACATGTCTTTCTCTCTCTCACTTTTTTGTTTTTCTAAATGGGATTAGAAGTAGGAATTGAAGTTTGCAGATGGATTTTAAATACAAAATCTGAATCATTGTTCTTGTGCAACTTCTAGGTATTTATAGTTGGTAATGCTAAGGACTTCTGAAATATATGTATACGTTGGTACACAATTTCCATCTCCAAAGACTTATGCTATGAAGTTCCTAGATCCTGAATCCTTATAGACATTTCGGCAAAATTACCATTTACTGGACTTTGAAGATAAGACAGGCATTCATGCTTTTCCTTTTAATGCATTTCTAATCTTCATTTTCATTTCGAAATCAGTAAACCTGACTTTTCCGGCTCCTCATATCTGTTTGCAAGCTGATCCATCTAAAATATCAAATGGTTTGTGATGCAGCTCCTCCTCTACGACATTAAATATGTCCCATGCTTTGTCCTGCTGGATAAACACGGCAAGGCGCTTGCGAAAACAGGGGTTCCAAACAGCAGACTCCATGTAATAGCTGGTGTTTCCAACCTCCTCAAAATTAAACGTCCTAAAAAATGTTAGCCACGATTGCGAAATGTTCTTGTCGCCTTCATGAATACGCTCTCTAGTTTTTTAGCTTGTTGCCGATCTTTTGATGACGACTGAATTCTGTCTATCTTGTGTATATTGGTGAATGGTTTATATAATACATAGAACAGTCTTGTGTTCTTGCATAAATGCACTTGTAAATGTTTGATGGAATGAATGCATTTGGAGATCAACTTTGAATCTTGTTTCTACTTTTATTATTTTCTGCAATGTTTTGGCATTGCAAGATTTGTATGAAATTTCGTCATAAAAAAAAAAGATTTGTATGAAATTCGGGAAAGATTGTGATCTTTGGAAGATGATTCGTACGTAACAATTTGGTTGACACAACTCTGGTGGGATTGTTCACCCACATTGTTTTGGCACGATTTTCATAAATATTACTCCCTCCGTCCATAAGTAATATTCATTTGCTTTTTACACGTAGTTTTAAAAATATTAATATTATATGGGAATATAGTAGGAATAAAGTAGAAATGACTAAAATAACCTTATCAGCATGTGTGATATAAAGGTAATGATATTTGTATAATATATTGTAAGTTGTAAGGGTATTTGTAAATTGTAATGTTAGGTAGATAGTACTTATGAGACGGACTAAAATGGAAAAATTAATATGGGACGGAGGGAGTACAAAAAATACTACAATGCATGTATTATCATAATATATTCTCTCATATTGCTTTTTGGACATAGATTTTTAGATTTTTTAATATTAAGTATAATATTGATACCTACTTTCCTTAATAAATTATATATTTTTGTCCATCTTATAACAAAATATATATATATATATTAATAACGAAGTATAATATATATATTTTATTCATTTAAAAAAATCAAAAAATTTAACATAAGATATTTTTTTTAATATAAAATATTTTTGTTAATATAAAATATTTTTTATTTTATCAACATATATTAATATGAAAAACACATAAATTCAAAAAAAAAAGTACCAAAATACTTTGAGGAAATGAAAATTTATTTGTTTGTTTTTTATTTCAATACTAAACTCAAATCCAAATACTAATTTATAATCACAATCAAAACACACCCTTAGTTTGGTTGTGTTTGCGACACAATATTTTTAGGCGACGTGTACTTCGAAGGATTAGGTCGGATAATATTATTTTATCCGACCTAATATCATGTTTACTTTTATGTATTCGGGTTCGAGATAATTTCAGGTTCGATACACGAATATACATTTATAGGATTATTAATTTAATCCAATATCCTAGTATTATTTCATACAATTTAATAAAATTACTAAATTATCCTTATTCTTGATCTTTTTTTTTCTACCATATTCATTCCATTTCCGTAGTTTTTCTTTTTGTAAAGTTCTTTGCGCAGTTTGAAGTTCTTCGCGCACGTAGTAGCTTCAGGTTCTTCGCACACATAGTAGCTTCAGATTTTGGTGGTAATTCATCAACTATATATGTAAGTATCGAACATATTTGCATGTATGAAAATATTAATGAATACTTTAGTAATATAAAAGTTTGTTAAAATATACTTTATTAGAAAATATTTAATAATTTATTTGATAAATATTATAGTAAAAAAATATTAGAATTATTTTATATGAATATAATAGTAATTTTTTGTTTAATATTTATTTAAAATTTATTTTCAATCCATTTGAAGAGTAATTGTATATATTTTTATTTTTATTAACAAAATATAAAGTGCTAAAATGAAATATATTATATTGGTAAAACCTAGTTTATGATTTTGAAGAGTAATTGTATATATATTTTTTTATTTTAATTAACAAAATATGAAGTGCTAAAATGAAATATATTATATTGGTAAAACCTAGTTTATGATTTTGAAGATAAAATTAAATATATTTAATTAATTATAAAAAAAAAAAACATTCTATCAAATTATATACATATGATAATGGTATCACAATTAAATTTTAATGGATTATTTTATATTATATTTATATATGTAGAAAAAAAATGTATAAAACAAATTATATAATTTATAATATGATTATGAAGGGTATTTTGGATAAAAAAAAATAATTATATCATATAATCTAACAAAATAAATATAATATAATTTAATCGATTGTTTAATCAATCAAAATAAACATTATATTAATGAACTTTTTGATTATTTAATCTATTCAAATAATCTATAGTATTATAATGTAATCCTTAAAAAGTAAAGGCTTTCTTATTATACATCTATATTGGATTATTAAAGTTAATTTAATTATTTTTTTGTTTTTTTAATTTTTATTTTGATTTATAATTTATACAATAAAATTTTTTAAATTAATTTTAATATATAAAAATATTCAATATAAAGAAATTTTTAAAAAAATATAAGTTTAATGCTTATTTTATTTTTCACTCAATAAAATATACTCCCTCGTCTCATATAATTTGTTCATATTTTCTATTTTTTTTATCCCATATAATTTGTTTTTTTTTATGAAATATAATTACACACTTTAATCAATTTTGAATTTTAGAATTATTTTAATTTATATTAAACTATTTAGTTATTTTAATCTTAATATATAACTATTTTTACTATAAAATAATTATTTTTACTAATACACTTCTTAATTACTTACTAATTGTACTTTACCTAAATTCCCGCATTTACAGTAATATACCCATATTATATGATACGGAAGGAGTAATTAAAACTAGGGGTAGCAATTTAGGCCTGTCCGATTTTTTTTGTTCCGGTCCGACCCCAACCCAATTCTAAACTGGGCCATCATGGCCCGGTTTCAAAATGGGCCATGCCGGGCCGGCCCGCCTTTTTTAAAAAAAAAATTAAATTTTTTTTTTTTAAAAAAAATGAATTAATTTAGAACAAAATATACTTAAATAGTGAAGTGAGAAATTGCACCCACAACCAAATATATACAAGCCAAGAACTTTACTATCAAGCCTTGGGACCAGTCTGGAGAAAGATTTCCTCGTTTCTTGATTTCCAAGCCATCCATAATCTAGCCAAAAAATTGGTATGACCTATGTTGAAGTTGCGCAAGATCCATTCCATGATCTCATTTTGATCAGCATTGTAGCTTATCTCATTGATAAAGCTCGGCCAAACCCTTCGGTATGCAAACAGTAAAATAAGGAATGAGTCCAACTTTCAGTATCTTCTTGACATCTCATGCATATTTGAAATTGTAATATACCTCTATTATATTTTAAATCATTAAGAGGGACGGATTTTTTTTATCATCAACCAGAGGAAGAGCTTAACCTTTTCAAGTGTTGGTAGACACCAAATTTTTTTTCAATTGTAATTTGTATTATTATTTGTCAGTTTTGTAATCCAGGTAGCCATCTTTGGTTGAATAGCTTCCGGATATAGATGCACCCCAAATCATGGAGTCCTCATTTTTATAATAGAAAATGATGAATTTTTCCTCAAGCTCAAGCTTGAGATTTTCATTGAGCCATGAGAATGTGCTCGGTGTTGACTTTTCCTTCGTCCCAAATATCTTTGATTTTCTAATTGATATCCCTAATGTCAATGAAAGGAACTTCATTACATAACAATCAACTATCCAACCATTCCTTAAACTGGAGTGAGGATTCTCCATTTTCAATTCTAAAGTTGTAGCCCGATTCTAATATTTCTCTTCCATTGTAAATGGCTCGCCAAATCGGAGATCCATTCTTTCTAGTGACTTCCCAAAAATTCTTCTCTCTGTAGTAGAGCTCGTGCATGAGGCCAACCCATAGTTTTTGTTTTTAGTGTAACATCCCCCAAGTGAGTTTTCCCAGTAATGCGAAGTTAAAGAAAGTTATGCTCGAAGATTGAGAGCACCATGTATTATGGGTTTTGTCATAGATTTCCATCTTACAAGATGTATTCCATGGCCTTTTTTTATCTTTCCAAATGAATCTGGCCATGCAACTTTCTGTTTTCTGAATTAAGGAAGATGAAAGTTTGAAAATTTACATCAAGTGGACTAGAATGGAGTTAAGGACTGAACGAGCTAGGCTAATTCTTCCGCATTTTGATAAGAACCTAAATGACCAATTATTGATCTTTTGAGTCATCCATTCCATTATCTGGGAAAAGAAGTCTTTCTTTTTTCGTCCATGCACCATTGGAAATCCGAGGTATTTTCCGAGATCATGGGTGAATTGGATCCCAATGGTTTGGCGAAACTCACATTAGATGTGTCTGGGCGTGGATAGAGATGCAATAGCCCGCGATTTTTAGTTGTTCATACGTAGGCCTAAGGCACAAGCAAAAGAATCCAGAATTTGGTTTATTATATCAGTCTGATTTCTCTCGGATTTGTTGAATAGGAGAATATCATCCGCGAATAAAAGGGTTTCAGACCTTGAGAGCTTGATCGGCTTCTACCTGCCATCATCAACAGCTCGAGAAATTATTCCGGACAATTTCTCTATGTAGATAACAAAAAGTAGGCGTGGAAGGGGGTCCCCTTGCCTGAGGCCCTTGGTAGGTTTGAAAGTGGGGAGACTGCTCTCATTCTAAAGAAGAGTTAACAATGTAGATGTTACACTATTCATGATAAACTTTGTGAGTTACTGAGGAATTTCCATCTCATCCAGGCATTGCTTTAATAAGTGTCATCACATATTATCATAAGTTTTATTTAGGTCGATTTTGTGCACAATAGAGCTCACCTTGGCTTTGTCCTTTTGAAGTCGATATATAACCTCTTTGAGCACTATTGTCACTAGTGTTCCTGCCTTTTAGGAAAGAAGCTTGGGTCGGTGATATGTACTCACATAGGATGGGCCTCAGTCTGGCCACAATAATTTTTGTGATAATTTTGAAGATAACATTGCAGAGACTGATAGGTTTGAGGTCCGAGAAGAAGTTAGGGCTAGCATTTTTCCAGATAAGAGTAATAGAAGTTTCACCAAGTCCATCGGGGATTTGACCGGTTCGAAATATATCTTTTACCAGATTAATAACTCCATCACCAACTATGTCCCAATATCGCTTGTAAAATATGGTTGGAAAGCCGTCTGGGCCTGGAGCTGAATATGAGTTTATGGATTGCAAATCCTTTGATATTTTGTCGACAGAGATCTCCTTGCTAAGAAGACGGATATCATTAGTTTGAAGGGAAGACATGTGGGCTAAGGAGTCCAGGCTGGGATGGCTAGCATCGGCAGAGGTAAAAATATTTTTGAAGTAATTCAAATCTTCGTTTTCAAGCAGAGAATTGAAGTTGCAGACTTGACCAGAAGGGAGATTTAAGGAAGTAATTTTATTCTGACGATGTCGCATGACAGTAGATGCGTGGAAAAATTTAGTATTTCTATCACCGTGTTTTAGCCAGTCAATCCTTGATTTTTGGTACCAGAGAAGTTCTTGATCAAAAGCCTCATCTAGATCTTTTCTGAGGTTGGATTCCAATTGGAGAAGAGAGTGAGATGAGTCCAAAGCTAACTCTATTTAAATTCCATAAATCTTTTTTTTTTTTCAGTCTCCGAATACAGTCCTTGAGGTTGCCAAATATGGATTTATTGAATTCCAGTGATTTATCCTTGGTGAGAGTAAGAGCCTCAAGGATATTCCTGGAAGGATTCGTCCAAATGTGTTGAATAAATGTCTTATTTCTATCCAAAGCCTAAGCATCCATGTATCGGAAAGGTCTGCGATAGTTTTAGTTTGAGCGCCTAAGGTTTGTATGAGGAGAGGATGATGGTCAAATTGAGCCATTGTCAGGACTTGGATGCTTGCATTCTGGAATAGGCGAAGCCAGGAGTCGTTGGCACAAACTCTATCAAGACGCTTACCTTTCATCGGATGTCTAGATTCCTTTCTAATCCAACCGAAAAAAGGCCCGTTTTAGGGGAGGCTATGAAGATCACATTCATCCAGAGTTTCAGAGAATTTTGTAGCCCGACTGTAAATGAACTGACATCCTGTTTGTTTGGAGGTAGATAAGATTTCATTGAAGTCACCTAATATCATCCATAGGCAAGTTCCAATATTGGTGGATAAGTTAATCAAGTGTTGCCAATCACAATCTCTGGCAGACGACACCGTGTGAGAGTATATGCCCGAGCAGAACCATAACTTGTTGGCCTTCGAAATCTTCACAGTGATAATTCGAGGTGAAGAATGTGAAGTTGAATGTTGAAGTTGGAATTAATAGCTTTGAGACACCAAAGACCTCCAGCGTGATGATTCGCTTCTTGGATAAGAATATCTTCATAGCCAAGTCTATTCCAGATGTACTTCATGTCATCATCATATTGGATATGAGGTTATAGGATAAACATATAGTCTGGTTGATAATCTTGAATGAAAGTCCTAAGAATTCGCCTCATGCATCTGCTCCAAGCCCTACACATATTCCATGAAGAAACTTTACAAGTGTTGCAATCCATGATATGCTGAAGTTGAAGTTTCTAATGATCCGTTATTTTCCAACTCCATGTGGGGGGAGTCCTCTGAGTTAGAATTGGATGTAGGATGAAATATGATCCGTTATTTTCTAATAATCTATTATTTCCTACATCTAATTCCGAGACAAATAAAGAATTTTTTTGTAGTGAATATGATATTAAAATATATTTAAATAAAAAATTCAAATTTAAATACAATTAAACAAGTTTTAATATATATATACTTTAATATTATACATATAGTTATAATTTTTTATCTTATTAGTATAAAAATTAGTTCTAAATAGATTTAAAATTTTAGAGGCATAGGCTTGAACCTGGATGGCCCATGCTTAAGCCTGATCATGTCTGCTGATGGCCCACAATCTTATAATGAGGTAGAATTGAATTTTATTTTATTGTTGTTGACATAAAATAAAATAAACTGTTATATATTCTCTATATAAGTATGTGTATATATCTGATTCTCATATGGTCCTAAATTATAAAATCGGGACCATCCTGATTCAATTATACCCAGAGGATCTGATAATATGGTCCTAAATTATAAAATCAGGACCATCCTGATTCAATTATACCAAGAGGATCTGATAATAGATGATGAACGGTCAAAATTATAAATAGGGATGATTAAGTAATTTACATTATATAATAGATAAGGCAACCATTTATTTATGTATAAATTAAGGATATATATATATGTACTATTTATTTATTATTGTGGTTATAATAAATCCAAATTCGATCGTTTTCACACCAAAAAAAGAAAAAAAAATTATGCGTTCTCCGCCGACGTCGATCGACCCGAGAAAATATACTAGTGAACTTGGAACTTGAAAGAAGATGGATCAAAATAATGTGCATTCTCTTTAGTACTCACACCCTATGACTGAAGATGAAATTCAAGAAAGTCATGAACTCAATAATTGTTCTCCTTTTTATTTCTTCATTTATCGGGAAAGTAACGTAGAACGGATTTATTTTATATCATTTTTGTATTCATTGAACATCATATTATACACATGAATACAACATAAATTTATTGGTTATCCAGCAATTCGGTGGTCGTATTAAGTGGTACTGAATCATAACCAAAATCGATACAAATTCGGATATTCAATGTATGTTGCCAAACTTTAATTCTATATTATATATCAAATTCAATAGTTATGCGCATAATTTAACGGGAATAAAAATAATTAAAATTATTTTATTGGGTCGATTTTAGATTTTATTGTGTGTGAGAATAAATATTACGTAAATATTGTATAACAAATAAATGTCATATTTCACGAAATAGTGTGATTAATAATTTTCAAAATAATTCGAGTATTTTATTTAAATTTGATGCTCAAATGTATATTAGGAAGCAAAAAAGTCGACTTACTCAAAAAAATAAATATTTCACATGTAGAAAAGATTGCATCATATTGCGATTTATTGAACATCACTTAAGAAATATACCTTGAGTCCAGTTTCTTATAAAACATCGTATTAGTACTATGATTGCATCATACTTGACAATACTATACATCATTACGATTTTTATCGGTAAACTATTACCTAAAACTTTAAAATCACGATATAATCGGTAGTTTAAGAAATCAAAACCTAAATTGATTTTATTATGTTGGGTAACAAGCACCACATCATATCAAAAGTTAGAAGTGTTGACATTTATAATTCAATCTTATTTCCGCTTAAATCAGAGATAATATCAAAAAAAAAAACTAGAGAGTTGATACACCCTTTAAATCAAACCAAATACAATAATTTTATTCATTATCTTAACATTAAATAATCATATAGAATAAATATTCCTTTATGTGTTGGGTAAAAAAAATGTTCAGTATTTTATGCTGAATTGGCATCATAATTTTATATTACGTATATCAATTCATAATATTATTTATGTGTATCATAATTTACAACGTTATGGTAGATACCATCTAAACTATATCTATACACCATAATAATATAATGTAGGAATCAAACAACAAAATTGATATAAATTCGAGTTATGCATAGAAATGGTAGCTCTATCTACTACAAAACCAACGTAGATAAATTTTTCATCAAGCATCTAAATACAAAGCACTTATGGTTGACATCTCAATAATCTATTAACTTTAAAATTGGATTTACATATATAGGCATTAAATAACAAAAAGAAAAACACCTAAAGCATGTTCCCTTAATGAAATTTCTTAGGGAGTTGCCGCTAGACTAAACTAGTTTGTTGTTATTGAAATCGACATACACATGAGACTTGTATGTACTTAGTTTTCTTTAGCTTGGGTTTAACCAATGACTCTGGAAGTAGAATCCTTTTTTCAGCCATTGACGGCGGGACTGGAACGACTGCTTGAAAATCGAGAATAAGTGTTTCCGGTCCGATGGGATTACGGCTCGAGTTATTTTGGTGGACGATAGAAGGCGAACTACGGCGATGGTGTGTGGTTGACGGCAGGAGGGGAAGACGGCGGCGGCGTGGTTGGGAGATTTGTAACAGGAGTGATTTCGCACGAGGGTTAGGGCTGAGTGAATTTTTTTAGAGTGGGGGTTTATTTCATCCGGTAAATAATTGTATATTGTTATTTATGGAAAAAATTTTAATTAAGGAATATTCTAAAATTAATACATAAAAATATTAATGCGAGATTATCATGATGATTTTAAAAAATAATTCCGTTGATTGAGGTTAAATTTGATTCGTTAGTAGATTTGGAATTTTTAGGAATCGTAAGTCAAACTTACTCAGATGAGTTCAAGATGATCCTGAATTTTATATAAGGTCAGGAGGATACCAGAAGCCATATATATTACTCATTCTGTCCCAATCGAAAGGTCTTTCGTATTTTATTGATTAGTGAAAATGTGTAAGATATTTTTGCCATTTTTATTTTATTTATAAAATAATTGGATGTGTAACAATATATTTGTAATTTAAGTAAAAGTTAAAAATAATATTTTGATATTAATGTATGATTATTTTTTTTAAAAAATAGAAAAGTAATATTTTTTAGTGTGATTGAAGAAAATAGTAAAAATAATACTTTGAGTCGGGACGAAGAAATTGTATATATGGTGGTTTGTTTGCAATTTTTTTTTTTGCTAGATTTTTATTATTAATCATTTTTTTTTCAAAAATATAAAATTATTTTTTAATTTTATATTTAAAATATTATGTAAAATATTCAAATAATTAATTAATCTACCAAATCTACAACAAACACATTCTTGGTTGTGTTTTTTTTTTTTTTTTTTAAATTTTACAATATATTTTTATTATTTAAAATTTTTTTCATTAAAAATATCACATCAAATAATAAATTTTTTTTAATTATTTTATATTATAAATTTATTTTATTTATATCACATAAAAATACCTATTCAACTACCTCTTACTATTAAAAATCCAAATTCAAAAATTAAAACCGACAAACAAACAGCTTGTGCAGTCCCCGCTTCCACTTCTGCAGCAGCCATTCATCTCGTCGCAGGCGCCACCTCCAGATCAATCATGGTTCACCATTGCTGCCGCCGATTCTGGTCTTCCTCTTCTCGTGCGCTCGTTGATGAAGGTTTCTTCCCAAAACTAAGTCCTCTAATGATGCATTTTCATCTTTGGGAGGAATACTTTGTGTGTTTTTTGTTTAATCGTTAGGCTTTTTGCAATCACTGGCTTTTTATTTCGAATCGAGTGTGTGGTTGGTGCAAAAGTGGTCCGAAACCTAAATTTTCTCTTAAGGATTTCTGAAACCAAATGTAGTTGGATTCATTGTTTGTTAGTTCTGGGTATTAAACTGGTTCTTGGAGAATCAATAATTTTTTTTTTTATCAAAAATTCTCGAAAATGATGGGTATGTTATTGACTTTGTTGCTTAAACTCTAATTTGGTTGCTTATATGGATAATCCTCATATTTTCAGGTTGAGCGACTTGCTAGGATGATCCAAAAGGTCTACCATAACTTTTTTGGTGCCACTCATGATTTCCAAGCTTTGTTCCTAGGGCACATACATCTACATCTGTATTTTGTAATTGCCATTTTTGTCACATATATATAAATCACTGCAGTTTTTTATCAGGGGAATTGATTGTAGCATCACTGCTTAATCGGAACATTAAATCAAGGCTTTTATTGAGGAATCCTGAGAAAGCTGCTGCTCTTTTTGGTGAACAAGAGGATAAAAAATTACAGGTGTTCGTCTTTGTCACATCTAAATCGGTTGTGTTGCTTATTGTTTGGTGTTCAAATCTTAGTTCATATTCTCTGAATTCAGGGTGTCATTCTCAACGCATCCTTATGAACTTGCTGGGAGTAGCAAGGTGACACTCAGAACCCTGGGGATTTGGATTCTTCTATTTTTGAGGTTTGTCTATGACTGTCCATTTTTTGTAAAGTAAGAAAACTTTATTTGATAGGCCATTTAGCAAGAAAGATTTAGGAAACACATTAAAAGTTGCTACTGAACCTGACCAAAAGAACCTAATAATAAGACTGGTTTAATTGTTTGGTGTGGTAAACTTGTTATAACAAGCCTGGGTACTCTTGCAAGGAAAAACTTTTCATTCTTTGAGAAGTAGTAAAATGGAATAGAAATCTACTACTATGTGAACATTATCTACGGTCAAAGATTATTGCTGCAGGGGTAACACATGTTATTTTTGCTGCACTGAAACAACAACCTTTCATTCCAGGAGATGAGATGGAGATAATACACTTAAAAGAGCATGTCAGAATTCATTTTGCTACTTTCCGAATTCTACAATAATAATTTTGTGCATTTTAAGTCCTCTTGTTTCCGTCAGTAAGAATTTAAAGTTGAACACACTTGGATTTGGATTCTTTCGTTTGGAAGCACACTTTCTTACTGATGTTATTTTGACAGAGAGCAAGCATTCGCCATATATTATCTTCATTGATGAAATTGATAGCATTGGATCCGCTCGTATAGAGCTGGCAGCGGAAACAGAGATAGTGAAGTTCCGCGAATAATGCTGGAGCTTCTCAATCAACTAGATGGTTTTGAGGCATCGAATAAGATAAAAGTATGTGCCGCAACTACTAGCCAGCCTTCATTCTTATTATAAAATTTTATCCACAACTATCCTATATAGGTAGTAATGACTACAAATCGGATCAACATTCTGGACCAAGCTGCTTAGATCGGGAAGAATTGATCGAAACATCAGAGTTTCCAAATCCTAACGAAGAGGTATTCTTCTAATTGTGCATAACCATATATATAGTACACTGCCAAACCGATTTTCATCATAGCTAATTATTCAAAATTATTTCAGTCTCGGTTCGGTATCTTGAAGATCCACTCGAGGAAAATGAATTTGATGAGAGAGATCGATCCGAAAAAAATTTATGAGAAAATGAATTTGATGAGAGGGATCGATCCGAAAAAAATTTATGAAAAAATGAATGGAGTGTCCAGTCCAACATATATAATAACTTCTTTTGATTAAATTTAAAATGTTTGTTACGCTCCTAATTTTCATATAGTGTTACTATTATAGACACTTTTTTGTCGAAAATTGTTTTATTTAGTCAAAACACTAAAGGGCTCTACTTATATACAAGTTTTGAAAGGTTTGAAAACTCTTAATAATAAAAAAAATGTTAAAAAAATAGGTCTGCCATTTGATATTTTCTTAGAAAAATTACATGGTGTGTTTACTTGTCAGGTTTTGATTTTGAATAGTAAAATTTTGAATTGAAATAATTGTTTGATGTGATATTTTGAATGTAAAATTAGATTTTTGTGTAATAAAATAAATAAAAATTGAGTGTTTGATTTGATATTTTTGGAGGAAAAAAAAAATTAGAATAGTAAAATCAATTCTAAAATCTTACAAGTAAACAGACAGTTTTTCATAGTGTAACTTTTTATTCATATTTTTCCCACGACCTTTCAACGAAAGAAAATAAAGTACGAAGCTATGATTCCAGAGGCTCTGTTTGCAGTGAAGTCGAAATATTCGCCTTGAGGGAAATGAGAGTTCATATGACGCAAGAAGACTTAAAAAAACAGAAAAACATGTCCTTGTTGAATTAAGTTCTGCATTTCTCCGTCGCTTTTTTTAGGTCGAAAGGTATTTTCAGGTGATGCATGTTGAACGTAAAATGTTCCTTTTTTTTTTTTTAATAGATCTGCATGGTTTCCAATTGTTGTGCTTTCTGGTTTAATAAGAAGTTGTTTCTTAGCTCTTTCCTTGTTTGTATTTTATAAAATATTTTTATAAAAATATATTATTTTATTTAATAAAAATATTTTATTTAATAAAAATATCATATTTAATCAAGTGTAAATCAAAATTAAAATTCAAACACATGTTCTGTTCTGGGACAAGTTGATTGTGATCAAAATGTTGATTGTCATTCAAACAATTAGAATATTCTGTTAAGATTCTTTATATATATATATATATATATATATATTTTCAGATTTAATAATATAATAGCAAAGTTTTTTCATTTGCAGTATATACTACATATATGTATGAACTATTTGTTTTTTTTTCGTTTTTTCAATTAAAAATATTCGATAATTCATTTATGTAAAAGAATTCAAAAGATATATATATACAAAGTACCTAAGGGGTGTAACCCGTGAAAGAGAACTAGTATGTATATATATATATATACAAATTATTGAAAGAAAGATGCGATGATGAAAAAATGAAAAGAGAAGATAATGATCATTTACTCACAATATTTTACATATACATGATACATAAAAGATTATAGAACTTTTAAAGTGAATATGGTTAAGTGAAGCTTGGAGATTTGGTTATAGAGTTTTTCAAAATATTGCACACTTTTAAAAATAATGATAATTTTGTTTTTGTTATTTAAAATTTATTTAAAATAGAATGTCGATTTGAAATTTTATTTAGTATTTTAATATAATATTTTATAAGAGAAAATAATATATATTTATTGAAAATCATACCGAATGAGTAATGATATCAATTTGAAATCACAAAAGAATAAATGCTACATATATAATAGAAATAAGAACTTTTATTATCTTATTTTTAGATACATTATATATCATAGTTATTTGTAGAGATAAAAAATATTTTTACATATGTTCTTCCTCCACCTCTATTATGACTTTACACAATGCACGACTTGTATAATATATCCATAGGTAATCAATCATTCCAAACAATACAAGTCAAATCATGAGATGGACAAAAGCTTAAAGAAATTCTTGCTTGTTTAAGATAGTGACAATTATCACATGTTTGCTAACCAAAAAAACAACACTAGTAGTAGTAGAGGATGAGTATTTAAAGCACTTGATTTGATGGATGCCATGGCCTCCAAGAAATTAAAACTTCATCATTACATGTAAAATGTCTTATTCTATAAAGATGTATTCCCAAGAATACACTTTGACATTATTCACTCGTTTCCACCCATTGTCCGTAAGGGATGACCCGGTGGTACAGGAATTAGACTTGTAATCATGAGGTCAAACTCCGCAACCGGTACAGAAGATTTTTATTTTTTTCTTGTGTGTCCCACTTAATTGAATAATAATAAAATAAACCGTGGAGAAATATAGAATTTTTTCTATTTGTTTTAAAAAAAAATATTATTGTGGGTCTCATTTAAATTAAATAATAATAAAATAAAAGAGAACAGAGAACAGCAGGTGAACTGTTGAGAGTGTGAAGAAATAATAATAATGTAATATTATTTACTTTATTATTTGAATTATTTTTATATTGTAACAATCTAATTAATTGCTTTTTTTATTTCGATTAAATTATTTATATTATCGTAAATATAAATTTAAGTAAAATATATTTAGTAAATAATTAAAAAATTATATTAGTAAAAATAATTATTGTATAATAAATATAATTATATATAAAAGAATAAAAATATAAAAAATAGACATTTTATGTAGGATAGAAAGAATATTATGTATATATTTATCAATTATTATTGTATACTTTAACATTCAATAATATTTATATTAATTATTTTTTCTAATGATAATAACTATTCTCTCGGTCTCTCCACAAATTATTAATTTTTTCATTTTGATCCATTTTATATTAAAGTATTCATTTTATTTTTTTTCGTAACTGTACTATCAACGTAATATTACAAATACTTTTACAATTTACAATATATTACACAAATGTCATTATATTTATATTATACAATACTAATAAGGTTATTGTAGTTATTTTTACTTTATTTCTACTAAATATCAATATAATACAAATATACTTTATGCAAAAAGCAAATAAATAGTTACGTAAGGGATGAATGGAGTATTTAATAATTATGTTAATTATTCTTCAAAATATATATTAGTGTATATAATGTAAAATACAAACAAAAATAAGTATATAATTTTTTATTTTTTTAGTAACTACAATAATATTTACAATGTATTCATTTTAATTATACTTTTAGATGAATGTATTTTTATATTAAATATAGATAATGACGTTGGTAATATAAAAATAATACTTTGTATTACATTATTTACTTTTTTTTTCAAGGTGAATAGAATTTATATATTATATATTGTCTTAATATATATATATATTATAATACTTATGAATATGAGACTCAAAAATAAATTAGTGAAAAAAAACCTTAATAACTATATATATATATACTTAATAGGATATATAATATTGTGTAAAATAAATATATAAAAAAATAAATTTATTGTTGCACTTTTACAAATAGTAATGTACATATAAAATATCATAAAAAATAATTTATCATTCATCCGTGCATAGCACGGCTATACACTAGTGCTATATATTTGGAGACGATGTTGTTTCACCAAGTGGTGCAGTTTGAGTTTGTTTTTTTTTTTTTTTTTTTTTTTTTTAATGTAGAGCCCACATGTAATAATATATAATTAAATTTTATTTTATTTTATTTGATTTTTCTTCATTGATCATTTTAATATTTTTTTTTTAATTTTTAATTATATTGGGTTCCACTGTTTAATAATAATATATAATTAAATTTTATTTTTTCTAATGTGATTATATTTAATTAATTAATAATAGTAAGTTATAATACTCCCTCAGTCTCGGCTACAGTGTCTCATTTACTGTAGACATGAGAATTTATTAAATATATAATTAGTAAATAAGAAAGTATTAGTGAAAATAATTATCATATAATAAAAAAAAATTAAATTAAGTTTAAAATAACTATTTAGTTTAATTAAAATTAAAAATTTATATAATATAAAATTTAATATGAGATTAAAGTGTATAATTTTTTTTTTCAAAAAATAAAAATGACAGAGTAAATGAGACAAACAAAAATGAAAAATTGACACTGTAAATGAGACACGAAAGTGTTATTATTATTTTTTATATATAAAATATTATTAGTAATTTTAAAATAGAAATTAAATATGATTAGAAATATAGAATATGTATTTAAATTTTAAAAATGATAACTCAATAGAAAAATATTATACAATATATATCATTTTATAATAAAATTTTATATAATATAAATAAATAAATAAATAAATAAATAAATAAATAGAAATGATTAATAAAAACTAAATTTTATTAAAGATAAAGGGTTTTAAATATAAATAAAAATATTTACTTATTGATAAGAAAAATAGAAATAAAGAATTTTGAGTGATCCTACGTGATATAAGATGTTACATGTTATAAAACCAATTAAATAGATTTATATTTATTAAATATATTTTAAATCGGTAAATTTTACTAAATATAAAAAAAAAAATTGTTTGTTATAGAATAGATAAAATAAAAATGTATTATTTATACTATTTAATTTTTTGTTGTAGGATCCATTTTTGATTTTTTTTTTTTTTTGTGTGTGTGGTGTGGGTTTATTTTTCATTTAAATTATTTTATTTGTCTATTATTCAAAAAAAGCTCTACGTGAATCTCATATTCTTTTTCATTCTAATTATTTCATGACATTTCATATTCTTTTTCATTCTAATTATTTCATGACATTTCCCTTTAATGCTACGTGAGACTTAAGATGAAGACGAAGTGGTGGGATTCACATAAAAGAAAAAAAAAAAAATTATTTTTTAAAATGTAATTTTTATTGTTACGTATGTATTATATTTATTTCGTCCTATATAAATGATAGTTTGTTTAGGCATTGAGACTAAATGAAATTTTAATATTAAAGTGAAGTATGTAAAAAATAAAGTGATAGTATTATGATAAATTTATTAAAATATTTTATAAAAAATAGTTGAATAATTTTTTTTCTTAAAAAAAGACAATTTAGTTATTATTTGTTAAAATAAGGGTAATAAAATTGTAGATGTATAAAATTATTTATTATTAAGGAATTGTATATAAGTTTAGCGGACAACAAAAAAAATGAACGGTCACATAATTTTGGCGGACAAATAGAGTATTATATTATATATTATTTGTTTGATATTCTTTTGTGGCAAATTTTAAATTAAAATAATTATTGAATTTGATATAAATAAAATAAAAGTGATATTTTTAAATGAAAAAAATAATACTATATTATATAAATGTTAAATAAGTGTAGATCTGAGAATTTATGAGATGTGGGACGAAAATAAATGAAATGTGTGATATTATATATGGGACGAAAGAAATAGTTTTTTTTTTAATATTTTTGTATGTATATATTATTTTATCACCATATTTTTTTTTATCGAAATTGTTACAATATTTTAATTTGATATATCGGTGTAAATAAAAACAAATTTTCTGATATTTGTTAAATGTAATAAAGTTACACTTTGTAAAAGAATTTGATATTTTGTATTTGGATCAATTATACAATTTTTAGCTTTCAAACCAATAAGAGGAGTATACGTCATTTTTAAAGAACAATAAAAATAGATTATTGAAAATAAAATAAACAGATACTCCATAATTTTGACATTTTGTTACTTATTTTTATCACTTAATTAACAATTTAGATGGAAAAATAAATAAATAAAAGCATTATTGTCAAACTATGTTTTTTATTGTGAATATAAATTGTAAAAAAAAATTAAAATTTATATGCAATCGAATTTCGATAGATTACCACTACAAGCTATTAACTTCAAATATAAATAATTTATTTTTTATTAGTATAACTTAATTGCAAAAGAATAATATATATCCAAATTATTTAT